TTTCTCCATTCTTTTTTTAAAGCCATCCCATTTTATAAACTCACCACACTGAACAATATCCGGAATCTCCACCGCCCTTCTTCTTTTGTACTGAATGGAGTCTGAAGGTTTCTCATTCCACTTGGCACCCTGATAGCCAAAGTCATTCCAGAAAAACATTTCTCCTTTTTGACCTTGAGTGACAACAGCAATTCTTTGTAAGATATTGACAGCAGGTAAGGCAAAGCAATATTTATTCAGCATCAGTGGACACGGCCGGGCTGCCCTAGTGTGCATGGGTGTTTGACCACAAACTGGGCAGATTCCTCTGGGTAGGGCTAGTAAAGTTCCCATAGCTCAGAGTTTGTGACTCAATCCACAAAGAAAGAGTGACCCATACTTGGGCAAGCAGTTTCTTCTGTGTGTTCCACTGGCCCCTTACTGATCAAGAACAGTCCCTATTTACCAGTACCTGCCTCTAGTAAATTATTATCCTATTTTATTCCAATTTTTGCCTTGTTGTATTTCTTACTGCTATTCTCTAGGGTTCCAATCCCCTCCTTAAATCAATAGAAATTCACTACATGAACAGGAAGTAGATTATTCTCGCGTGTAGCATGTGTGGGCATATAGGTTTTTTGCCTAGTCTTTATCAAAAAAATCCAAACTCTCCTGACTATCAAATGGAGACTAGAATAGTGACTAAAGATTAGAATATGGGCTCAAATTCCCTCACAGTCATAAATCTCACTGGCTAATAGGCTTGCCAACCTCCAGGCTGGACCTGGAGTTCTCCAGGAATTACAAGTGATCGCCAGACTACAGATATCAGTTCCCCTGAAGAAAGTGGCAGGTTCTGAGGGCAGAAAATGGCTTCACATCCCTTCCCCATGTATCCTTTATAAGGCTCAGTCCCAAGTCTCCAGGAATTGCCCAACCCGGTGTTGGCTACTCTGCTGACCGACTATGTGCCAGTCACACCTTCTCAGCCTGATGTATTTCACAAGGTTGTTGTGAGAATAAAACAGGGAGCCTTGAATCCTGTAAACTACTCTGGTCATCTTGGAGTAAGAACAGGATAAACAATGCACTAGATTATAGATGGAACATCCGGCAATCACACTGGAACCGTTAGCAATATACAATAGGGAGATGACTTAGGCACCTCTAGTGCCAGTTTGGTGTAGTTGTTAAGTGCACGGACTCTAATCTGGGAGAACTGGGTTTGATTCCCCACTCCTCCACTTGCACCTGGCTGGATGGCTTTGGGCAAGCCATAGTTCTGATAAGAGCTGTTCTTGAAAAAGAGCAGTTTCTGTCAAGAGCTCTCTCAGCCCCACAGGGTGTCTGTTGTGGGAAAGGGAAGGGAAAGGAGTTTGTAAGCCGCTCTGAGACACCTTTGGGTAGTGAAGGGTGGGGTATAAATCCAATCTTCTTCTTCTTCTAGTAAATGAACTGGGGTCTCATAGTGTGTCCATATTTTTCCCCTGTGAAATATCAGAAGTTCTGTTCTCCTTGAAAGGATAGGTCTGTAGCCTATGGGGATGGCAAGTCAACAGCAGGAAAGTCCTATTTTCCCAAGGAGAATGGGATCATTGGAACCATTGCCAGCACATACAAGAAGGGCACTGAAGGAAGGGGCAAAGGATGGCTGACATCTGTTCCTCATAATGCTGAATGACTGGTGACCTCCTAACTGAATGCTGACTACCTGCCATGTATGGTGAACTTCCAGAGGCTTAATAAATCTCCTGGCTTTGCTGCATTCTGAGAAGTACATGAAGAGGGAGCCTGCTGAGCTTTTTTCCTCCCTTCAGCTGCAGGTCTGGGCACAAGTAGGACTGCCAACTCTGGATGTGGAAATTGCTGGAGATCTGGGGGGTGCAGCCTGTGAACGGACCTCAATGGGGTATAACGACACAGAGTTCACCCTCCAAAGCTGCCATTTTCTCTACAGGAACTGATCTTTGTGGTCTGCGGACCAGTTGTAATTCTGATATCTCCAAGCAAGACCTGGAGATTAAAAACATTTCAACACAGACACATTTGAGGCATTAAAACAGCATTTAAAATAAATCAGAAAGGAGGGCCAATAATGTTAGGTCTCCAACAAGGAGAAAAGTAGTATAAGAAATGCTCTGAAGAAAAAACAAACAAACCAAAACAAACAAACAAACAAACAAAAAACAAACAAGAAAGTGCGGCAGGCGCGCTCTTGCGACTCTTAGTCTTCTCTAATAAGTAGGGTTGCCAACCTCTAGGTGGGGGCTGGAGATCTCCCACTATTACAACTGATCTCCAGGCAACAGAGATCAGTTCACCTGGACGCTTTGGAAGTTGGACTCCATGGCATTATGACCCAAACACCACCCTCCTCAGGCTCCCCCCCCAAATCTCCAGATGTTTCCCAACCCAGAGCTGGCAACCCTACTTATAAACGGCTGGGAGCAATTCTACCCCACTGCCTCAGCTCTACCCTGTCTCTGGTTGAGCCACTCTGAGATGCTGCCAATTGGCTATTGTGGAGGCAGCTTTTTAAGGGTAAGCTCCTCTATGGCATTATCTCCCCCTTCTTGCAACAGCCACCAGTCATGGATGAGGATGTTTCCTGTTCCTGTTCCCACACAAAGGAAGAGAACTATTTTTGCTTGCATATGTAGCAAGGACATCCAGACACATTAATTCTGGCTTTCAGCAAATGAATAGCTGGCATCTTGACTTTCAACATTAAACCAAACAACCGTAGTTGAACAAGTTTGAATACAAAGATGTAAAAAGCTTAGTACATTATTTAAAACATCTTAAAATACATATAAATATTAATGATTAAACCAGATTAAAAATATGCAAAGGTTCATCTAAATTTGCATATGCTCGCAGGTTTAATTTAATAAAAAGAATACACAAACATATTTGCCCATTCTTTCGGCTTGTCTACCGGGTGAATAGTAATTGCTTATCAGATTTTATTAGCAAGAAATATCTTGTAGTTTTCCCTTTCTTTTTGTTCTCCCCTTGTTCTTATACTTTCTTATACTTTGAGAACCTTGTTCTTAATGCTCTCTCATCCAGGGATGGCCTTGGCACATTCTGGTGGCATGGGGTAAATTACCACTGCCACCACTTTCCTCCAGTTGTAAAACTGATGCATCCTGTCCCCTAAATCCTGCATAGGCATGGCTGAGAACGTCCCTCCTCTGAGCAATGGCTACTGCCTGTTCTCTCTCTGAGGAAAGTGACAATGGGTATGGCCTACCTTAGGGTCTTTCTTGTGGCAGCCTTGCTTCTTTGAAATGGACTGCCATGTGAGGTGCAGGCCACTTAAGCTTTGCCCTCAACACAAAGCTATTTCAAAAAACTTTTCATGGCTTTAATTTCTGCATAGTTTTTTAAGATACACTTTAATGTAACTAAGTTTACAGTACTTGTACTTATTATTGTAAATTTGGAGACAAAATTTGGAGACAAAAGCAAAAGATGGTAAGTGCCTTTAATCAATCAATCCTGATTCTTTTAAATCTCTTAAATTCTTACAGTTTTCATCCAGAACTGTGTTCAAAGAACTATTTTTACCCCCAACAATGGCACAATAAGCAGTAATACAGACCCAGTGCTTATGTTTGGAGAGAAACAAGATTACTCCTACACCGATTCTACCCCATATTTTACTCAGTCATGGAAGAATACCTTACATATGAACATGCATTATACTAAATCAGACCATTTACCCATCTCAATTCAGCATGTCTACATTCTGGCAGCAGATCTACAGTATTTTAGCTCCCTTCCCAATACCTGCTACCTGAAATCCTTCCTGCAGCTTTACTAAGTATTGCATTATATTTTTATTTCAATTTTCAATAAACAGTTTAAAATAAAAATTAAAAAAATCTTTCCTGCAGAGATTTAAGAAATTGAAATTAGGACCTTCTGAAAACCAAGGATGTTCTCTAAAACTGAGCCACAGATCCTTGAGGAACATACTCATGCTAAAGTCCTCTTGTCCTCAGGAATAAATATGGTCCTCCCTATCTGCACACACACATGAAGCTAACTTATACTGAGTCAGGTCCATGAAGGTCTGTATGATCTATTCTGCAGCAGCATCCCTCCAGGGTCTCAGGCAGAGACCTTTCATATTACCTACCTACTACTCCCTTTAACAAGAGATGCTGGGGATGGAACGTGTGGTTTCTACATTTTTTACCAGGATCAGCTAGATGAATAATCACAAACAGCAATTATGGATGCCCCTATCTCCTGTGATGAGTCAAACACATCCTGGTGCAGTGAATTTTTTTTACTTTGTGTTTATGTTTTTTTATCTTGAGTGTCTGTTAAAACGGTTAAATAACTATAAAGAAAAGACGGTGAAAATGAGTATGCCTGGTAACCACTGTGTTACATCAAGGGTGCTTCAGACAAAATCCTTAAAATCCTAGAAGCATACTACTTATCCCAAAACTTTAAATACTTCTTTTACATCCATAAGATGCTTAAGTTTTTATGTGCTGGAACCTTGTTTAGATCCATTCCAATCAGGTTTTAGGCCTGGCTATGGGACTGAAACCGCCTTGGTTGCCCTGGTGGATGAAATGCACTAGGAGATAGGCAGAGGAAATAGATCCTGTTAATTCTCCTTGATACCACTGATCATGGTATCCTTCTAGATAGGCTTTCAGGACTGGGAGGCACTGTTCGGTAGTAGTTTCAGTTCTACCTTGATGGTAGGTTTTAGAGGGCAGTGCTGGGGGACTCTTGATATGCTCCTTGGCCTACAGGGTTCCCCAAGGTTCCATCTGGTTCCCCATACTTTTCAACACCTATGTGAAGCTGCTGGGAGATAATCTGGAGATTTGGGCTGAGTCACCACCAATATGCAGATGACTACCAGCAGATACCACACTGTGGTAACTGTGAAAAGGTACCTAGATGCAGTTTTGGAATCAACAAGTTCTAACAAACTGAAACTTAATCTTGAAAAAACCAAGGTGCTACCGCTGGGGGCAGGCCCGTAGCTACTGCAGGACCCACGGGGCCTGCCTCCCATGGTTTTTACGGGCCCCTCCCCCTGGGTGGGGTGGGCTTACCTACTACCAGGAGCCCACTCAGGTGGAGCAGCAGGAGCCACAGGCCCCCCCTCCAAGTCCCCCATTCCTGTTTTCCTGCTGCCTTCACTAAGGCGGGAGAAGTCCGGTGTGGAGGGAGGTCCAGGCAGCTATAGGAGCAATAGCGGGGGTTGGGCAGAGGCACCAGAATCCGATGGAATCTGGCCCTGGCCCTTTGAAGGGGGCTGGAAGAGGATGGGGTGAGGCAGCCAATGAGAAAAGGCCGGGTAGAAGAGCCCCAGAAAGCCGCCGGAGCGACAGAGAGATGGAGAGCAGAAAAGCAGTCCAGTAGCGTCTCATTCCTCATGCTGCTCCTTAGACTCCCCCCCCCACTCCGCGTCCCAGCCGGGGGTTCACAATGGCTGCATTCCACCACCTCCATTTGGATGGAACCCCCTTGTGCCAAAGAAGGCCTCCTGGAAACACCCCCAGCAGGACGATGAGGGGACAAACAGAAAGAGGAGCTGAGCCTGAGTCCCCACCAGTGTTCCCTCTACGCTGGGTTAGTGTGGCTAGCTCACAGTTTTTTAGCCTCCAGCTCATATGTTTCAGTCTTAGCTCAAGAAGGATGGCTCTAGAGCAAACTAATTTATGCAGCAGCTAAATTGCTCGCTCACAACTTTAATGCAAGTATTATTATTTATTATGTATTGTATTTTTATTTAATATTTCGTTATTTAGAAGTATGAGCATGGCATGGCAGTACTGCACAGACATATAATGGCAGGCCCCCCGAGAAAAACATTGGCCCCCTGAGCAAAACGTTATTAGCTACGGGGCTGGCTGGGGGAAAGGTCTGACCCAGGAAATAGGTTATCTCCTGTTCTGGATGGAGTTGCATTCCCCCTAAAGGAGCAGTTTTGCAGCTTGGGACTGCTCCT